GATTCACGAGTGAAAAAGCTGAATGGGGATGAATCTTCATGTTTTATAATTTCAAATTTCCGCAGGCAGCAATACTCTTGTTTCACATTAAATTTCCTCCCCAACCTCTCGGGACATTTTATTCTTTTTCTTTTTCATTATTTTTTATATCGCTCTTGTATTCCGGAGCTCATTCCACAACTACTTTTCCGTCTTTTCTTCTTTATATATCCCGAAAATTAGATAACTCGATTTCATTTATTCTGTATTTGAGCATTTCATGTATCTATTTCTCCACATTTTCATACATAAAATTTGATACCATAAATTTATGTAATTTGATTTTTGACAGCATAGAATTTTCAATATTACATAAGCCATTGAGCTATAAATATAAGGTTTAATTACTTTAGAAATAATAAATGGAAATTTATTAAGCGTATTATTGATATTATAGCTATTGATATTCATTTTATTTTTTGCAGTCACGAATGTACAGAATTTGTTATTTCCTAATTCCTGTGGAAGATATTAATACACACGTACACGTTCAAGCTGGATACTTTGTATTATATTCCTGAATATAATACCAAGGTATTTCTTAAATCGTAAATCATAGATTAATTTTACTATCATATTTCATTAGCTCAGTATATAATACAGATTATCACTAAGATTTTCAATGAATTTGTGTATGATCCATCATCATAATTAGTACCAACTTATGCGTAAAGAGATATTTAAGGACAATGTATTCAAAATGTTAATATTTTTCTTATTTTAACCTATCTTATATAATATATATGTTCAAAAAATAATTTTTAAAATCAATGATAAAAATATTTTCTTAATAATTATTTTCTTTAGTAAATAGATGAAAATCGAATTGGAGAAAACGAATCAAACTAAAATTTAAAATATTTATTCATAATTTTATCACATACAATTATAATAGTTGATAGTTTATAAAATAAATAATTTAAAAAAAAAGTATAAATATATTTTTTTTAAATCTAGATATATATATTCAAATATTAAATTTCCTATAAATATTAAAAATATTAAAAATATTAAAAATTTCCATAGAATTTTCAATTTGCTATTTGTAATATGAAAAAAAGTAAAAAAATAAGAAGAGAGATTTCACTACAGATTTTAGTAATTTAATATTAACAGTATTAAAATTTTTCAGAAATTTAACTTAATTTATGTTAATTATATGATTTTGTTTTTCAAACTGCAATAAAAATAGTTTTACATGAAAATAGATACCTTATAATAATGAGATCATTTAGACAGCAAATATCATAAACATGTAATAGCGTAAGTGAAGAAGACGAATGAAAGATGCATATTATTTTACTTAGAGGAAGAACTTACGATCCAATATTTTTGCATATAAGTGAGTGCGTTCTGTTGAACTCACATACAAGGGAAATGAAATGTTGCTTTCTGCCATCAATAGAGTGGCAAATATGAGAAGCGAACAAGAATAAGAGAACATGAACTGAAAAGAGGTAGAGAGAGAGAGAGAGAGTGAGTGAGAGAGAGAGAGAGAGAGAGAGAGAGATGATGATGATGAAAAAGAAAGAGTAAGTGCTATATTGAGAACTGAAAAGATGGAGATGAAGAATTAAAATGATATGAGAGATAGATTGGGAAAAAAGAAGTTGGAATCGTTTAAAAAGAAAGAAGCAAATAAGCTTTATTGAATATAACAATGAAAGTTATGATTAGAATATTTCAAAAAATTGAAATACAATACAAAAAATTATTTCTGAATATACCCGTTTTTCATAATTTGTAATTATGCTTTTCATTACAATAACAATGCACAGATCTTACTATGTAATATTAGAAAATATAAGGCATTTAATTATCTATATTTAATTATAGCATATGAAAGAAAATAAATTTTAATTATTGAAAGCTGATTGAACTGATTGATATTAAAGAAAAATGTTAACACCTAACGTGTTTCCACGATAAGACATAATTTTAATAAGATTTGATATAGTAAAAATAATACGATGTGTTGATTTAATCTAAAATATATATGTTAAGAATTCAAAGCAAGGAAAAATATATAAATAAAGCTAATCTTGCTTTTAGAAAAAGACGAAAAAAGAGAGGAAGAATGCGAAGCCATACAAATGATGGTGAACAATAGCCAGGTGAAGGAAATTAACTTGCGCAGAAAAAGAATAAGACGTGTGTAAGTGGTGGTAAAGTGGGGGTTGGGGAGGAGAGAAGCGCGCATGTGTATGAGTTAAGGAAAATGGGAGAAAGAGATGACGGTAGAATATAAGAGGGGCACAAGGTAATATGGAAGGCAGCTGAGACCGACAGGTAACGCCACCGAAACCAGCGGTGGTCGTCGGGGAAATTATGATGGCGGCAGCTCTTTCTTTGCTATAATAGCCTAAAGATATGCGTAAAGTGTGCATTACTAACGGCGGCCAGCGATTCTTCTTTCATCTCAAATGTATTTGCCCTCGTTGTGCCTATGCAAAAACCAAGATTGATATCGCGATTCTCAGGAAAATCAATGTGTAACAGGCAATCTGAGAATGTACCGATGAAAGCCAAGGATGGGCCCCGAAATGAAGCTACGTCAGTAGGGTCGAGAAATTTGATGAAAAATTTGAATGGTACCATTAAAAAAACTGTCCATCTACTTTTCATATTGATAATTCTCTATAAATTTTGGATAGGCTTCTAGCGTTATTGCGAATTTATTAATGGATAAGTTTCAATGTCAACATTTCCACGAGTAGTTCATTGCGAGATCCCGAATCCACGCTTTTCGCCATGAGGGATGCTGTGTTATCACCGTATAGATGATAAAACATAATACGAAGTGGTGAGAATAAGGGGAAATCGGGGGAAAACTGCTGGCTGTTCCTTCATAATGCATGTCAGAAAGACAGTGTCAGCGGTCCCCTCGCGGCTTCGTAAGTGCTCACCTCGGACGACGTTGATCTTCCTCCTTGGCGTCAACCCCCGAGAATTCTTGTTGTTTATTGCAAATAGATTCCACGTCATAAGACTGGTAAGTGGGTGGGGATGTCTCTGCCTGTCTCTCCCTCTCTCTGCCTGTCTCTCCCTCTCCCTCTCCTTCTCTCTCTCTCTCTCTCTCTCTCTCTCTCTCTTGGATGTTACGAATTAATCTGTCTGTTTGTCTCTCTCTCTCTCTCTCTCTCTCTCTGTTTCTCTCCCTGACTCCCTCTCCTAAAGGCTACGTCGCATTGTACTTCGACATTATGCTAGCAAATGTATTACAAATATACATAGTTAAACATGATAGCTTATGCTTTTCGATTTTTCTTACTTTTTTACTTACAATGAACGGCGGAGGAAGAGTATAAAGTACCTTTTTGCCCCTACATATATGGGAGAATCGGATTTGACGAGGTGATTTGTTATTCTTTATTTTTGTTTCTTACCATTCCTTTTTTAGAAAGGGGTAAATATATTTAGAGATTGATTATTAAGTTATGATAACTTATAATTTTTAAAATTTTTTAAATATTCAAAATAATTCAAAGTGTTAATAAATATAAGAATTTAAAAATAATAAAATACAAATTAAAAACTTTATTTTATGTTAATGAAAACATAAATATTATATTTCTTAAACATAACTTAAAGCTATGTAGTTTTTCAAAGTAATTCTTCTAATTTGTAAATCTATCGTAAGCTCTACAGAGAACTGTTCTTAACTATACTCATATTATCGCTTCGCCAATACTTGCGCTTAAAAAAATTTGACATGTTGTACATGCTAATTGCATGGTAATAACTGAATTAATCAGAAGAAATATACATATAATATTCTTAAATTATATCAAAATAACTTTTATGTTTTTATTAAATTGTGACTTAATAAGAAAGTATTTTTAATCAATAAACGAGCAAAGCGTAAAAGTGCAAAAAACAATAAAAATAAATTTACGCTACGTAAAAAATCATTGTATCGTAACAAGTAAAGAATTTAAGTTTAATTGGAAGAACTTATAAAATGTTCGACAGGAAAGGAGCTCAACCAAAGACAGCCATTTACAGCGCTATTCATTTCACGCTTTCATAAATATTTCGTTTGGATCGAAGCGTTTCGAAAAGGGTTATATTACTAACAATTGATAACGCACGAATTACAGCCTCCTCAATAAAAAGATGAATTAATTCCCCGGTCGAGATTTATGTTTTTTTTTACCCGACAGCTCACAAAGACGAGAGAAAAATTGACTGCCTCCTGATACGCGAACAGGATTATGCTTGTGGGTAGCTTTGTAGAGAAAAATTCAGTCTCAGCGTCGATTTAATTCACACAAGCGAAAAATATAATATTGCATTCTCGGCACAATATCGATATTCCTCTAAATTCTCATTTCTATCACGATGGAACTTTAAAGAGATATATTTTCATAAGTTGCGATGCGTCTTTGTATTATTATAAATGTAAATTACATACATTGTTTACTTACCATCTTGTTATATATGAATATTTAACGTCATTGAATGCTAAATAACGATAATATCGTCATTTTCTATCCCATTATCGGGAACATTACTATTATATTTTTGTATTTTAATTGAAGAATTTTACCAATGACGTATTCTTGAACAGATGTCAAATCTTTAGGATAAATCGTATTCGTATGAATAATTTTTTTCTTCTTTTTGTTTTTTTGTGAAGTGTAATTGAATTTGAGTTTAATTAACGATAATTGCAGGAGTGACTCGCAACATTATGGAATTATCTCGCAATCCTGCTCAAATAGACATTGTGAATAGATTTTATTATCAAAGACTTTTTTATAATCCGTTTTTAAAATATGTCAAAGAGTTTCCAGATCACTAATTAAAAATCCTAGCAGCGCGCGTAGGCTCTACCGCAAGCAAGATAACACTGAAAAAGAAACAAACTGAAAAAAAGGAAGGCAGAGCGCTAGTCGGTCACGACCCGAGGGTGAATTGGCTGGCTTCGAAATCTTAATTTATTCGGATAGAAGACTGACCTTGGTAGTTTTGCCAGAAGGTGGTGGCTTGACTGCCTATGAGATCGAGTCCACTGTAACCCCAACCGGGTTTCTCTGGCGTTGGTGGCTGCTGCTGCTGTTGCTGCTGTTGTTGGGAGGAGGATCGCGAGCTCGTCTGCGACGTGTCTCTGTACTGCTGGGCCTGGACTGTCTGCTGTTGCTGCTGCTTTTGCTGCTGCTGTTGGTGCTGCTGCTGTTGCTGCTGTTGATTGTGAGGATTACCTTGCTGCTGATGTTGTTGCTGCTGCTGCTGCTGGTGCGTGGACGACTGAGAGTTGGAGGATTGAGAACCCTGAGCCGGTTGGGGCCCAATTTGAGAAGAGTGCGTTGGCGAATCGTCGGACGGCTCCACACTGGTCCGGGAAGCCTCGACGCTGACGCTCTCTGTGACATAAGAATTTTACACGCTCGGAGCATTTACAAAGGAACCGTGGGAGAGGATCAATGGCGTCTCATTACGGCTGCCACCATACGAGAATACCTAAATTATGTGGTTGTCCGATCATCTATGGATAGGCACTATTATTTCAGCAAAGGCATACGTAGGATAATGCGCTATTACATTTAGATGAATGTTGGTAAGATAGTGAAGTTTTTATCGTGTTTATGTAACGAGATATTCATGTAGATAAATAGGTGTAATGGGTTCGACAAGAATTATACAGCCATTGATTGATATTTTGAAGGATCCTTAAATAGTTATCTATCTAGATGCTTTATTTTAGTTGTTGTACGCTATATGCTTAGTGAATCTCGGCATTAAAGTTTCTGACTTTTATATGACGAAAAATACTATGTTTGAAATTAAAACCGAAGCAATTCTAAATTTAAAATTTATTTATTTAACAAATCGTTTAAAACATAGTGATTGACCCTGTATAGAAAAAATGTGCTTGAATTTACTATTTAATCTTTTGATAAATTATTATTGATTAATAAACAGAATTTACAAATGCTATAATAGAAGGTATATTTTAGTCTAATAAACAATGCACATTTAAAAAACATTTTTTGTTATTAATATTGCATGGCATTTTATTCAGTATGTATGAACTTTTATTTGTAATTGCTATTCAATTTTATATGTATAATTTTCTATTTAAAATAAATTAAACATTAAAATAACAATTCATAGAAAAAATTAGAGGTTTGTTATTAACAGAATCTTAAATGTGTTCTAATGTATAAATATAAATTAGAAATGAATTACATAATATACAAAGATTTAGGGAATTTCTAAATAGAAATAATTGCCAAGCACAAATTATAATTCTACACACGAATCAATGGTTTTTCCAATTTTTATTCTTAATGATGCCTTAATTCTAGTTGGAAAAATAACATCGATAGCCATTTAAATTTATTGTAACTCTTTACATATATTACATTGTTTTAGTATTTTTTCATAAATTTCAGTATGTTAATTTTTATTATTTAATTAATTTATTAGAATTTAGTTTATCTCTGCCTTTGCTTAATAGAATAAAGTATTTGATTATCGTAATGATATATTAACTAAGTTTGTTAGCTTTATGTAAGAAAAATAAAAAATTCATTAAATTTAGTATTTGCTTTTAAAAAGAGTTTAAAGAATTTTTTGGATTAATTTAATTATTTAAGCTGACTTTCTTGTCAATTACAGAAGCATTTTGTAAATTTTAATGTTTATAATAACGTTTCTTGAAACTGTGAAGGCTGTGGTGCTCTCTTCGCTGTTTAAGCTTGGTCTTATAAGTAACAGCCTCACTCGCTGACGTTTACAACGAAGATTTGAATCAAGACTACAGTAATTACAGGTTGCACGAAGTAATATTTTTAAAATTCAAACGATAACCGTTATGTATCTGCCCCAACGTGACAAACTATTTCTTTTATCATAAAATAAAAGTATATTTTCATGTTACTTTTAAAATTAATCTCATTTGCATAAAGTTATTTCCATTTTAATAAATTTAATGAAACTGAATTGTGGCTTATTGCTAAAAACTTATAAATTATAAATCTACATCTGTACAGATCTTGCTATTTTAATTCCAAAACAATGAAATAGTACAGTATTAACATTAAAATAAAAACAAATAAATATTTCGAACTAATTATAAAAAAATCTGTATAATTTAATCATTAGAACGATTAATGTATATTTTATTACTTAAAACCAAAATATAATAAAATTTAAATATTTGAATTTCAGTATGAATATTTTTATTTTGTTTTACTTAGATATTTTATTTGGGTATTGAAGTAAACATTTAGTTTTGTGATAATTATAAACTATATATTTTAAAATTATAATTATTTTACTTTATTATGTATAAATATCCATGATAACAAATAAACTATGTTTTTAAAGCTGTAAATACCGATCGTATATAATTAATGATTCATTAAAGAAACTAACACTTTTTCTTTTGATAAGCCAAATTAAAAAACCGTGAATTAGTAGTATCAAATTTAAAGAACCAAAGCATATAAATCCCTGAAATTATGTCAAAGTAAAGAGAGACGCCATCTCCCTCTAGCTCTTTATGAACGGTAAGAGAGAATAACCAAGTTAATAAGCAGACAAGTTTAAGGTATTTTCGGGGCCTAGTGTACATTTTGCGTGTCTCTATCTCCCTGCTTACTTACTCTCATTCATTCTCGCTTTAGAGGTTTGTCGGGACTCGGCGTTCCCCGCGTTTGATTTAAAATTAATATCGCGACTCTCTGGGGCTGACAGGGTTAATCAGCGCAGCAGCGAAAACGTCAGCGCGCGAGAGTTCACGAAATGTTATATCGGAATAAGAGATTTCACTTAAAGGGTTTCGTGTTTGAGTTTTGGTAGTGACAGGAGAAAGTATAGAAAAGCGAGAGAGAGAGAGAGAGAGAGAGAGAGAGAGAGAGAGAGAGAAAGAGAGAGCGAAGATGGTTGACTAAAGATGCCGACTAAAGCTAAGAAGAAGAGCTAGTAAAATGAGGCGCAAACAAGACCAATGTTGGTCCCAAAATATTACTGCATATCGGAATTACGTATTGTGCATCAGTGTAAGTACATGTATGAGAGCAATAATGAGTAACTTAATAGGAAAGGGAGTGTTATACTAAATATATTTGCAAATATCATATAAGAATATTAAGAGCATCGATATGAACTGACTTTGAATCGTGTTTTACTCTCGAATAAATTCAAATAAATTGTTAGTTATATTCATTAAAGCTTAGAAGTTTTGGCTCTTGGTGAAAGTTTCCTTCTGATTTAACTATATTATTTAATATCTTGATGTACGCAAGGAACATCAAAGTAAATACTAGATGTTTAATAAATGGGTACTTTAACATTTAAAGTGACGCTTCTGCTTTTATTACACATGAATACGAAAATTTATTATTTTGAATTGCACCTTAAAACAAATTATAAAGTCAAGTTTATTATATAGTTTAGAAAGTTTATGATTAATAGTAGGGATAAAACGAGACGACCTGAAATAAATAAAGGCCTACAGATATTTAACTAATATTTAAAATATCTCATTGGTAATCGAACGATTATGAAAGTAAAATAATATTTATATATTTGATTCAATTTCATTAATACATTAAATTAATTTCATTTTAGGTATTTATTTTTAATCTCCATTTAATTTTAAGTCATACTTTAACAATTGTTTTCATAAACTTCAACGAACTATTAATCAAATGAAAATACATCACTCTAATCTTGATAATCAAATGAAATCAATAGCAAATACACTTCGCTATTGTAATTAAAGTATCTGTACTTATAAATTCTTAGTCAATCATAGGAAAGGAATGTAAAATTTATGTAATACAATAATACAAAAACAATACAAAATACAATAAAATAATAAAATGTAAAAAATCACTTACAGTATTAAAAAATTATGCTATATTAATATTATAACAATATTATTTTTACAAATAATAATCTGTTTGGTATATAAAATATCTAAATCTTGTATTGAATTAGATAAAGCGAAATTTTAGTACTTACTTAGTGTCTTCAAAGTTTAAACATAGCTCATTTTGAATAATGAATCGATAAAAATTTATTAGATTTTAGAAATACTTGTACCTGTAATTGCTCTGACTTGCTCTAGGGAAGCTCCTGTAGCTTTCAGTGCCTCTTCAAGTTGTGCGCGTCGTTTGATCTCCAGATCTAATTGATCTTGTATTTGTTTCCTTGCCCGACGTTCTTTTTTCAAACGCTTCTGACATATAACTATAATCATAAAATATTTAACATATTTATTTAATCAATATAATATGAGAATAGGTAAATATTTTTATTTGATGATTACAAATTCATATAAATACACAAACATAAATAACTACATATTCAATTAATACAAGAATTCTAATACGTAAATAAAAATTGCAAGAAAACTTTTCTATTAAAACTGAAAATATTCGACTTATGTAATAATTATGTTTATAAGCAAAACTGCCCTCTTGCACTTGTCAAAGAAAATGTTCACGCAAAGATACAAGATATAATAAAAGCTAAAGTATTCATTAGTCACTAAAATCTTATAGAGCTGAGAATTCCAAGTATAAATAATAAATTGGCAGAGTCTTTGAAAGTTATTGGCCTCTTGAGGCTGTCTCAATATTTTTATCTTCGCTTTATAATTTCGCACCTATATAGAAGACGCGTGCCGCTGGGCACAATTGGGAGTAAGAGCCAGGGACTAAAGAGGAAGCCGGTCGCGGTCGATCTCGTTAAATTGCAAGTCCCCAGTAGGTGGTGAAACCCCCGATGAGTCTCCCCTGCACGAAATAATCGCGCGTTCTTCTCTTCTTGGACCGCGTCGTATCATCTTACCGCGGGGGGTTTCGCACTACCGAACCTCCGCAATTGGACCCCCGAAGAGTCGATGACAACGGCCCAATTCTCTTTTCGGTCTTCACCGTGGCTACCGTTCAACATTTCGCGGACCAAGGGTTCGTTCCCACATTTACACACATCTTCGGTCATCCATATATATGTAACGAAGCTTACGATTGATCGATTGACTTGCCAATCACCTGCCAAAGCTTCTCCTTACTATCGTTTTCGGAGCATATAAACAGACAATCTTGAGCTATTAAACCTTCTTCTGGGAATGTTGGTCTTTTATTGTGCACAGTTAGATTGTCTCGTGAAAATGAATGGAATTTAAAATAGAAATGGTAATAACTAATTAAGAATTCTTGGATGATTGATCTTTGAAAAAATTACATTTATTTGAACAAATTATATTGGTTATATTAATATATGAGGCTTCATTTTTATATGCAATATATTTAATATTAATATGGATGACTGCATTAAAAGATTTTCTAATATAAAATGATTATTATTGATTAATTTTTTTATTAAATAACAGCATTGATGTAGTGATATATGCATTAAATTAACACTTATTTATTAATCATGGACTGTGTAAAATCGATGTATTACGAGATAGTATCTAACAGCAACAAACATTTTCAATTTCCTATAAGGATAATAAAGGATATTAAATATCATAAGATCATATGAATAAAGGGAAATAAAAGATTTTATAATTAATAATTGAATTGATGTATACAAATTTTTTTTTGCCTTACGATACATTGATATCTGTGTATTTCATATATATATATATATATATATATACATATGATTTGCAATTATATTGAACTGTTCTATAAGACAGTATATTTGTAATGACTTTGAAAGGTGTTTTCTATTCTTGGCGATTCTACAAAAGTTATTATGCAATATTCAATTGTTAATCAACTGCAGCCCAAATTATATAATTTTTAAATAATTAATTTTTATTTAGCTTACTTTACATTAATTTAGTTAAAAATCGAAAAAATAATTTTATATGTCACTTGTTTATAAAATTTACTATTTATGTCATGCTCTTGTAGCAAATTCATTTGAATTCGTGCAGACAAAATGTGAAATCAAAGTAAAAATTATATAAAAACTTCTACCTGAAGTTGATAACTGATTCAGTGTTTGCAAAACCATGATGAATCGGCGTTTGAGATTAATAAGCGACCTCGTTTGTCAATCTCATGTCATAAAAAATATAGGGTAATTCCTGTTGAGCTGTCTTATAAAACATATCCATCAGTATCTGTCGGAACTTTGGATGAGATGAAATTTTCGGTAGTTCGTGTATTCCTTGGAATGACGTTTGACATATCGCTAACAATTCTAATATTATCTAAAGGAGTCGCTCACTTTAATAAAAGGTGGCAAAGGAAGAAGTAAGAAATATCGACGAAACCAATAGCTTGTCTGTTACCTAAGGCTTTTTCAAACTGTTCTTCTCGCACTTTCATTATATCGATTCCCTCATCGGCAAGAAGCAGTCCAATGTAATATCCATGGATATTATCGCAACAATTGATTACAATATCGGGGCAAGGCGAGTTCGCATCACTGGTCGTTATATTATTCCATAGTTAGTTTACTTCGAAATCATGCTCCTTCTTCGCCTTGCCCTTTGTCAATATTGTCTATCGGTTCTTGTTGTAAGACCTTTGAACATTGGAGCATCTCGTTGATGTCAGTGTTTTTTTTTTATCGCCATTCGCCAGCATCCTTCATAACCCGAAAATCAGAGATTTAAGCAAAAAGATAGAAATTTTGGCTCGACAAATTTGAAAATAAATGCTATCATTTTAATGATACATTAATTTTTAATTAAAAATATAATAGATCTAATAGCTGCTTTTCTGTTTATTAAAAAAAAAATATTTCACATGTAATATGAACATGTAATATAGGCGTGCAAGAGGATAAGTGAATTAAATATTCAATGTTCAATAATTTAGAAAATAATATCATCATGACAATGCTTTATGATTATAAGAATAATACATGACTTAGTATAACAATCAAATGTTACTTAATTAATCTCATTCCAATATTAGAGAGGCAATCGTCAAGGGCGCGGTGATGAACGAGCCAGCATCCGATCTCCTATTAGTCCTCTTCACTCGACTTCTCTTGCACGTACGTCGATCGGTATCGGTTCGATTGGCTGCCTCCGGCGGCTCCTTTGGCAAGAACTGGCCTTCCACTCTTTTAATTTATTTTCCATCATTGTGGGCTGCTGTTGTGCACTCGTTTCCTCTTGAAAACGTTCCATTAAATTGGCGTGTGCTTCTCTCCTATTTTTCTGCGATTCCTGTTTTTCAATCATCTTCTGTTGTATTAGATGAGTCGAAGCCTTTATAACCGATTCTTTTCAACACATTCAATACTTTTAATAGGAGAATTATAATTTTATTGCTTTAAAAGCTGGGATTGTAAAGTCGTTTTATATTTCTGTACGACGATATGCATTTATCCTTATAATTTACATATATTAATTTATTTAAAGTCATTTTATTATGCTATTTAGTTATGTGTACTAGATATATTTTATGTTTTTCTTATAATAAAAATATTCATGGGCCTTATATATATATATATATATATATATATATATATATATATATATATATTATTACTTCAAAATATACTAAAATATATTATTGATTACTCACTCTTCTCATGTGTATCTGATAAAATTAATAATGTCTAATTTTACTCCTTAAGATGCATAATTTCGTATGTAAGATATTGGGAGTTTAGGAGCTATGATAATTATTAGTATCTGTTAATAATAAAAGGTTATGGGATTTCTGAAAAATCGATTGAATTAACGAGAAGAGGTATCAAAAACAGAGGGGGGGGGGAGCAAAAGCTTTTGAATCAATACAACATAAATTATATGCTGTCTTTCGCTTAGGTGTACAAGTCGAAAAAATCCCTTGGTAACAGGAGCTAAACTCGGGGATGTTTCGAAGGATTTCTTCTGTAGTCAATACTTTTACCAAGTGCAACTTTGCACACAGCTACCTGCATAAAGTAAGAAAATTAGTGTCTTCCACGTAACGTGTGTCTGTTGGGCGAGTAGAATTTTCAACCGCTCATAGCTGCGCCCGATGAATGCACCAGCCGGTTCTCACACTGCCGGTTTTTGCCGTCCCTCTTACCTTCTCTCATTCTATGTTTTTCTCCAGTCCTTTATAATATATACGGGGAGAAAGAAGAGGGTGCAGAGTGAAAGAGCGCTAAAGAAGAGGTGACGAGGAGAGGGAAAGGGGGAGTGAAATGGCGAACAGAATGGAGAGTGTAGGGAGAATAAGAGAGGGGAGAAGGAAAAAATGATTTTAAATTGCGTGACGCGAGAGAGACGCTGCTACTGTAGCGCGTTCACGTACCTCTCGAGATCATCTTTCCTGACAAGAAAGTAGCGAGTCGGTAGCGAGTCAGCGTAGGTGTGCTGCACATACCCTAAGGAATGAATACCTACGTATGTATAACTACAGAATACTGGAGATTATGTGGACGACGATGGGCTACATACAAGCACAGATCTTTTGTATTTTCAAGCGCGGGTGCATTATAACGAGTTGAATTCACTTTCCCGTCACTGTGCGAGGATTTGATTAGGTATAAACGTAACACGTCTTTTTTAACACGATGCGTAATATATTATTTCCTATCATAAATTTAATTTTATATATCTGACCTATTATGTACTAAGATAGCATGAAATAATATTCAACATTTAAATTAATATTTAAAATTTAAAAATGTTATAAAAACCTTTGCAAATAATTTAATGCTGACCAGTCAGTATCTTATTAATAGGTATGAAATTTGTTGAAGAATTTTTTAAATTTTCCCACTTTTAAACATCGACAAGGTACATGTATTCATTATGTATTTCAATATTATATTGCATAAATAATTATGATATTATAATTTTTCAAAAAGATGTATATGTATTGATAATTAAATTAATAAGAAGAATTCACGAAGAAGCAATTACTGGCTAATATTTTACTGGGTATATATCAGATAAATTATTAATTTTTGGGGTTAGATAACTTATTTAACGCCTGTGAAATTGTGTCATCCTGAATCTGAAAATTTCAATATGCATTTAGTAAAATATTTAAAAATAAAAATTCTCCCGATACTTACAAATTATCTAAAACATAAAGATTTGTTAATTAACGATTTAAGCATATATTTGATTGTTTACAGTAGGACATTTTATTTGTTTCGATGCTATTACATAAAATTGTATATCTTTATAATTTTTTAAGTCAAATAATAATTAATACACGATGAAAGTAGTCGGACCGTGATTTTTTGTTATCGAAGCAAGTACACGAATTCAA